TATGGAGTATGTTATTTCCACGTAAACACATGTCGTAATAAAATGGCAAGTCCATTCGATGCTTATGATGGTTTCTGTATGAGGTAGAAGTTGAGCCTGCCATTTCCTAGACTACTGATTTTACTAATAAAAAAAATTATATTTCAAATTTGGCACAATAAATTTTGATTATTTTTATGGAGTATATTATTAACACGTCTTCCCAAATTGTTATAATTAAATGGCAAGCCCATTCGATGCTTATGATGATTTCTTTATCTGGTAAAAGTTAGGCCTGCACCTTATTGTGCTACCAATTTTTCAGATACAAAAAATTATATTTCAAATGCAGCTATATAAATTTTGATTATTTTTATGGAGTATGTTACTTACACGTAAACACATGTCATAATAAAATGGCAAGTCCATTCGATGCTTATGATGGTTTCTGTATGAGGTAGAAGTTGAGCCTGCCATTTCCTAGACTACTGATTTTACAGATAAAAAATATTTATATTTCAAATTTGGCTAAATAAATTTTGATATTTTTTATGGAGTATGTTATCAACACGTCTACACATGTTATAATTAAATGGCAAGCCCATTCGATGCTTATGATGGTTTCTATATGTGGTAGAAGTTAGCCCTGCACCTAATTGTGCTACCGATTTTTCAGATAAAAAAATTATATTTCAAATTTGGCTTTATAAATTTTGATTATTTTTATGGAGTATGTTATTTACACGTAAACACATGTCTTAATAAAATAGCAAGTCCATTCGATGCTTATGATGGTTTCTATATGTGGTAGAAGTTAGCCCTGCACCTTATTGTGCTACCGATTTTTCAGATAAAAAAAAATTATATTTCAAATTTGGCTCAATAAATTTTGAATTTTTTTATGGAGTATGTTATTTACACGTATACACATGTTATAATTAAATGGCAAGCCCATTCGATGCTTATGATGGTTTCTATATGTGGTAGAAGTTAGCTCTGCACCTTATTGTGCTACCGATTTTTCAGATAAAAAAAATAATATTTCAAATTTGGCTCAATAAATTTTGAATTTTTTTATGGAGTATGTTATTTACACGTATACACATGTCATAATAAAATGGCAAGCCCATTCGATGCTTATGATGGTTTCTATATGAGGTAGAAGTTGAGCCTGCCATTTCCTAGACTACTGATTTTACAGATAAAAAAATTTATTTCAAATTTGGCTCGATAATAAATTTTGATTATTTTTATGGAGTATGTTATTAACACGTCTACACATGTTATAATTAAATGGCAAGCCCATTCGATGCTTATGATGATTTCTATATGTGGTAGAAGTTAGGCCTTCACTTTATTATGCTACCGATTTTCCAGATAAAAAAAAATTATATTTCAAATGCAGCTCAATAAATTTTGATTATTTTTATGAAGTATGTTATTTACACGTAAACACATGTCATAATAAAATGGCAAGTCCATTCGATGCTTATGATGGTTTCTGTATGAGGTAGAAGTTGAGCCTGCAATTTCCTAGATTACTGATTTTACAGAAAGAAAGAAAAAAAATATATTTCAATTTTGGCTCGATAAATTTTGATTATTTTTATGGAGTATGTTATTAACACGTCTACACATGTAATAATTAAATGGTAAGCACATTCGATGCTTATGATGATTTCTTTATGTGGTAAAATTTAGGCCTGCACCTTATTGTGCTACCGATTTTTCAGATAAAAAAATTATATTTCAAATGCAGCTCAATAAATTTTGATTATTTTTATGGAGTGTGTTATTAACACGTCTACACATATTACAATTAAATGGCAAGCCCATTCGATGCTTATGATGATTTCTATATGTGGTAGAAGTTAGGCCTGCACTTTATTATGCTACCGATTTTCCAGATAAAAAAAATTATATTTCAAATGCAACTCAATAAATTTTGATTATTTTTATGGAGTATGTTATTCACACGTAAACACATGTCATAATAAAATGGCAAGTCCGTTCGATGCTTATGATGGTTTCTGTATGAGGTAGAAGTTGAGCCTGCCATTTCCTAGACTACTGATTTTACAGAAAGAAAAAATATATTTCAAATTTGGCTCGATAATTTTTTATTATTTTTATGGAGTATGTTATTAACACGTCTACACATGTAATAATTAAATAGCAAGCCCATTCGATGCTTATGATGATTTCTTTATGTGGTAAAATTTTGGCCTGCACCTTATTGTGCTACCGATTTTTCAGATAAAAAAATATATTTCAAATGCGGCTTAATAAATTTTGATTATTTTTATGGAGTATGTTATTTACACGTAAGCACATGTTATAATAAGATGGCAAGCCCATTCGATGCTTATGATGGTTTCTGTATGAGGTAGAAGTTGAGCCTGCCATTTCCTAGACTACTGATTTTACAGATAAAAAAAAATTATATTTTAAATTTGGCTCGATAATAAATTTTGATTATTTTTATGGAGTATGTTATTAACATGTCTACACATGTTATAATTAAATGGTAAGACCATTCGATGCTTATGATGGTTTCTATATGTGGTAGAAGTTAGGCCTGCACCTTATTGTGCTACCGATATTACAGATTAAAAAGAAATTATATTTCAAATTTGGCTCGATAAATTTTGATTATTTTTATGGAGTATGTTATTAACACGTCTACACGTGTTATAATTAAATGGCAAGCCCATTCGATGATTATAATGATTTCTATATGTGGTAGAAGATAGGCCTGCTCCTCAATGGTTTATCTTTTTGCCTAGGCTTTACATTAGATGTTACATTGACAATTTAATATTTTTTATTGCAGCCTCCTCCTCCCCTTATAGCTGCTCCTTACCTCGCCACAGTTTAAACCCTTACAACTGTTTCATTTTGACTGTAGGCCAATATTAGATGTGAAAACCTTGAGGATGATTTTAGTAAATATTAGTAAGAATTTAACAATGTTCTTATGGGGTTTGTAATGTAATAATGATAATCCCTGTTTTATTTAAATATAAATTTTACCGCCTATACTTTTCAAAGATTGTTAGAGACAGTGAATGAAGGCAACCTATTACTCTAATTTTTGTTGTTGTAAATATTTAGTTTGGTAGTACCTGCATAAAATACAAAAGAAATCTATGTGTTCTAACACTTGAGTAGAACATGACACATCAGGTGGTAAGCAATTTCCACCACCTTTCTTACTAGTGTGAAACCAAGCAGTACATTCAACGCAAAAGTCATTTTGGTTTCTTGGTGAGTCGGGAAATTGTCCATTGCAAATGTAACATATTAACCATATAGCCTGAATAGCTAAGGAGCTTTTTGAATAACAATATTCTATGTTGATCTGCATCAAACATCAAGTCTATTGAACCATTTGTTTTTAATTGTTCTATGAAATAAAAAATGAATACACCACAACTAATTGTAACTGTCAGTTTGAACAGGATGTCTTAAATGGCCATGTTGCCATGTTTTGACTAAGTCATCAAAGTTAGTTTTGGTTATGTTTGAGTAAAATTTGAGAAAGTTATTAAATATATACTTTTTTCTGTTAGGATTGACAAAATCTGATGAAGGATCAATAAGGTGCCTATCCTAATTAAGTTACTTTTTCAAATATAATAAACCCCAACCGCAGCAATCCTGTGCATTCAGCAACGTTTAAATAATCCACGATTAAATATGTAGATCCGTCAAAATGGATCTGCCCCAAGGGATTTAGGTTACAGATTTAGGTACTCAGCAAATTTCAAATCAACATTTTCATGTATTTCACATGATCAAAGATCGAATATAAAATATCAATTACCATTATTTTATATTTCAACAATTGTTTACGGTACAAATCTTGTGATGTTGGTCTACCTTTAGTGACATATCATGTACTAGTAGTGTACCTGTTGCTCGAATTCGAGCAATTGCAAATTATTACAGGCCTTATTTCAAAAAGAATAACATACAAGTTTTTCGATGACTTTAAAAGAGTCGACTCAAATATTATGGAAATACTCGCTATGTGCATAACAGTTCGATATAATCAACATTTCTTGTAAATATCCCATCATTTATCAAAAGCTGATCTTGTTTTTTAGTGTTTTCTACAAATGTGTCCCACTCATAGCCGGATTAGATTGTCCATAATAACGATTATAAATTAAAAAATAAACACTCATTATTTCTATTTCTTTTTCTGGTGGACGGTGGTTTTCTATGACTCACTATAACCATAGAATATCAAACTATGGAGTCATTGCAAACTGTACGATTAGTGAGCCATGTACCCTACGTCTTATATAGAGTATAGGGTTTTGTGATTGTGATTGGTTTTTTTAGCATGTTGTATCATGACTTGACTGCTATACAGTGCATATTATTTGATTGCTAGCTCTCTGTAGTGTATTCCAACTTAGGTTGGGATTTTATGTATTGTTAGTTTTAATGTGTTGGTTAAGTTTTTTCACCTGAGGACGGGATCATATTCCAGATCCCAAAACATTGTGTATTGTTTTTTACAACTGTGATGGAAAATGTCAACAGTAAACCTTTGAACAATATTAACTCACCATCACCAACAATGAACTTCAAACAAAGTAGCCTACTTTACTTGCTGCTTGAAATAATTCTAAGTAAATACAGTTAGTACTAGTGGCTTCCTATATATATTCTAGTATATATTTTCTACAAATTATTAGCCTCATGGGCTACCCTACCTTGAATTATCGTTTAACATTTTTTTATTATAATATGTAAAATACCAATTACATAAACGCTTACTTGTAAGTTATATGTTTTATTAAGACTTGTGTAATTTTTTTAGATACGAATCCTTCAAAATAAGACTGATCCAATATTTAATAATACAACTTCTGTTTTCATGGCCGCAGTAAGTATTTGAAATGATAAAAATTGAAAATCACCTATTTGCTGTCACTGCCGATATCTATCTCTATCTAATTGTCAAAATATGATAGATATCAATTAATTATCGATTTTCTCGTTTGCAGTGTACATGCATAAACTACTGGCAGACCTTATTACAGTACTACGCAGCGACACGACAACATGGAACCATGTTCTACAAACGGTGTTTTCGTAACGGTAAGACATTTTTCAATGGTTACCACTATACTCTATTTTTATTTTTTGACGTACATTTCTCAGGGTAACCAATTGTACCCCCAATCATCCTAAAGTTTATTATACCCTCGCCGCAGCAAACCTGCAGACTAAGCGAATTTCCATTTGCCTGATTGGATTTACTCTAAAATATCTCCTTAAAAATATCACGTTTTCCCCCCATTTAAATAGCATTGGTTTACCAAGTACTTAGGTTTGCTGCAACAGGGTAAAAACGTGTTTTTTTGTGAAATGTACTAGTTTAGTAATTTTGATCAAAATATGTTCATAAACAAGCAAAATACAACAGTTTACTTATTCTTCATAAGAATAACATGGGAATTTAAACTTTTTAAAATTTTCTTCGTAACTATTAGGTACATAATAAAGCTTCAATATACTAAATTATTTGTTTTTTAATTTCTACAAAATGGTTTGAGAAGAAATTGCGAAATTGTGTTTTTAGGGTCAGCAAGTTTTTTTTATTATGTAACATACAAAATGGAAATGAACAACAAAAGTAAATCGGTCCCGGGTCAAGGTCTTACCATGAGTACTAGCTGAATGGTAATAGCTTATTCCCTATATGGGAAATTCGCTAAAACTGATCAAATCAACAAATTTGATTCAGCTTCAAATCAAATCATTTTATTGGGCCAAAGTAATCTTTGGCCAAAGTAACAATAATACAGAGTATGTATTAGTATAAAATCGTATTGGTTGATCTTTTCTGGTACAAACTTCTGCGAATTCATCAGTGTTATGCAAAATAAATCTGTTTATTTTATTTTATTTTTTTTATATATGTTGAGAAGGCACGTTTTTACTTCAAAGGGAGGCCACCCTAAAGCTGTGTAAGTTTTATTTTTCCTTCGTCACTTTGGTCATCATACCGTACTTCTGTGCCAATGAATAACCCTCTAAATTTAGCAATAATATTTTTTTAGCATAACTTCGATTCAATGACATGCAGATGCCAGTAGTCTCAGCCTTATCAAAATTATATAAAGTGTTCAATATAATATATCTTCGGAATGTTAGGTGTAATGAATGGAATATACTTGTAGTGACGCTGGCGTTTATTCTTGAATGAGGGTCCTCGTTCATATGGTCATGCGGCTTCATTGGCAACAAATAAAGCAAATGACAAAGCAATGCTGCATTTCCAAAAAGCAAATACTGTAAATCGTTACGTAAATAGTGATGTTTACATGCATTGTTGTTAATCAACGTATTTTAGAAAGGATGAGGATATCTAGTTCAAAAGGAACACGACCTTTCTGTCATGACAGTAACTGTTTAAATTAGTTTAAAGTAAATTCTCATTGTGAAATTTGTTTTACAGTCGAAGTGTAGTGTTACCGGAAGGGCCTACCTCGGAAGGGCTTTCACGAGGTATCATCCAAACCCGCAAAAGGCACATTTAGAGGACAAGAGCTTTAATTTTACACCCAATATGCCTATAAAAATAAATATTTAAGGGTTGATTTGCTGCACACAAAAATCCAACAAATTCTTTTAATAAAATAGACTAGCAGAGTACCCGTCCTTCGTACGGAGTTGGCATATAAGTATAAAATGTTTATTGCAGTTATACTCAAGCTTTGCGTTTGCAATGGGGGAGGACACAGTTTGATAAAATTTGCTTCTTGAAATTTATGGTATACCATAGTATTACACATCTACCATAGCCATAATGTTCTACCACTTCACCTAAACAATAGAAAAAATAAATTATTAAATATTCCCAAAATATCAAAAATTATTTATGAAATTAAAAACAAACATAACTGTAAACAATCCTACCTTGACAGTTCTCATTCAGTATCACAGTTTTTTGTTGTTGCTAAGTTCAAATTAGCTGTTTTCATGAATGCAAAAAAATAATAGTGATGCACCCTGTAGGTAAATCTTTTTAATGCTATTTGCATATCATAGAACCAGATTTTTTAACTGAAACAGCTGACCAGCTGACTAAATTCTTTAATTCCCTTTAAATATGAATAACATGGTCAACTGCAGAGCCATTTAGGCGGAGCCCGAAAGGATTTTTGAGATAAGAATATGCCTATATGTTGATCAGGAATGTGAGCTATCATCATGCCAAACTTCAGCCTTTCCGTCCAGTAGATAATGCGTGATTGAACAAACACACTAACTTTCACATTTATAATATTAGTAAGATAAGACAAGAATTTATTCAACAAAATACATTCTATCTTCAAACTATATCCATAATGTTTTTTTTTTCAATTCTGTACCACATAAAGCATTTAACTTTTTAATTTACATTTTATGCCGTTTGGCAATATTATGAAGAAACAATAATTTACATTTTAGGGAGCAAAACCACGACGGGTTGTGCTAGTGCTGTGTAATCGGAGTGTTTATCGTTTGCCAGTTGTTAGGCGTCGTTTATCACCTGTAACCTTGTAACATCAACAGCAGTGCAGCTCAGTTATAAAACGTCCCACACTAATTTTACCGCTTGATTAAATTCGGCTAAAATACAGAAGTAAAGTTTTTATAGTTGTCACCAAATAACCACTTTTGGCCAAATAATGTAGAATTCGTGTGTAAAGTGTCTAAAGCCGCGTTTCCACAAAAGTCTTCCACTAAGTATTCCAAGTGACTTTTCAGTCTCCCACTAAATTTTGGTTTCCCTCGGAGTGTTGATAAAGACTGGTAAAGAGAAGAAAGTTAACAACTAAAAGCGGCAATCAACTTAGACAACTAGTTGGGAACTGTTCCCCCTCCACTCACCCCGGCCCAACACGCCTTACAACAAATTTTCCAATATGAGCATTTAAAATTCCCTATCAAACGACACTAAGTTCAAAAAGATCGAATAATGAATAGCTGAGAAATCTGGCGCAAATTGGGAAAACCCCTGCTCATTGGTCTTATGTTGCCTGGCCTGTGCAACTAAAATCGTGAACTTGAGCTCGGATCGAAAAGAGTCACTTTACGCCCTAGTGATGAAACATACTTAAATTTGAATTAGTTCTTAATTAAGACGTTTTTGTTACATAATAAACCACGAATTCTTGAACATGACCGAAATGGATCATAAACATAAACAAATGATGTTTCTTGTTCGAAAATAAACATTATTTAACATGACTTAAATGTTAATCTGATTACTGATTAGTATAGGATTTGGACCAGCAATGTCATTTGTTTATGTTTATGACCCACACCGATTCTGTTCAAGTATTCGTGACTAGCTGTACCCGCGGGCTTTGCCCCGTTTAACTTCATAAGTATTCGCATGGCTCATTCACGTCCTGGTTGAAGTTCGTTCGCTACGCTCACTCACCTTTTGGTTGGAAATTAGCTGTTGTCATAAATAAAAAAAAAATAATAGTGCTGCACCCTGTTGGTAATCCTTGTAACTTTTATGCTATTAAACATCATAGAACAGAACCAACTTGTTTAATTGAAACAGCTGTTAAGATTCATTAATTCCTTGAAAAAAAAACATAAGATTAACATGGGGAACTACAGAGCCACTGGGGCCTCCCGAAAGGGGTTTTGAGATAAGAATATGCTTTAATGTTAATCGGGAATGTGAGCTATCATCATGCCAAATTTCAGCCCAATCCGTCCAGTAGTTTATGCGTGATTGACAACACACACACAAACACACACCCACAAACTCACAAACTTTCAGATTTATAATATTAGTAAGATAAAAACTGAACAAAATATAATGTGCAATTTGTGAGCAAATAGCAAATACTAGTTTTTCTCTCAACTATTTTTAGCTCCTCACCACTGTTTTTTTTTCAACGCCAGTGGCATTTCACGAGAGAGTCACGAGAGAATAAATGTTTATTGGATGTCGGGGATTGAACCCGTCCCTCCCGCACCGAATTCCGAGACGCTAACCACTAGGCTAGCAACACGACCAACTCAACTTTTTAAAATTTGATAAACACAAATTGATTTTGGGTATTTTTGGGAATAGTATTGTTTTATGTGATGTGTATTTTTTTATTTTTGTTTTACTTATTGATTACACTGAGTGATTTGTCATCTAAAAAATTGAATCTTAATCAAGGCCAAGTGTTTGAAGAACATTTTGTCTGATGTTTAAAAGCTTTATCTACTTTTTAAACAACAAAATAAACAGTATCTTAGTTCTTTCTGGATATTTACTTTGTTGCTTTGCATTTTGGTTGCATATAGGCATTGACTATATAGTCAATGATATAGGTATTATGATCCATCCATTTATCCACTTTATGAGGCGTTCAATTCCAAAACTCACTTATCGAAATTTTTTTCCGATTCTGAGATATTGACATCACTGGATTCATAGGAAAATCTTTACCGACTTGTAACATCAAACCGTTTCAAAACTCACCTTGACCATTCCTAATTTAATGTAGAAAGTCTGGTATCTTTCCAAAACTAACTTATTGTAAGTCCCTTGTTCCACAATTCACTCGTTACAACCAGCCAATCAAAATACTTTATCTTCATTATACGTTCGCCTGAATTTGTATCCTTTCCAAAACTCACTATTTTTATCTGGCCAATTTCGTTTTTATGGATGGTCGGTTTTGACTGTTCTGTATATTTCAAACTCTTCCAATGTGTTTCTGATTAAGCGGCCCTGTAATAAATGTAAAACTTCCATATTATGATTGATGTTTAATAGTTGTGGTTATGTAATACCAGATGTTCTGCAAAATTTGATGTTTGAGCAATGATGTCTTTCTGGGCAAATGCTCCTTGAATCTGAAGTCTGGCTGATATAGCAAGGCCGCACTAGATATACCTATATCTAGTGTATCTAGCATATCTAGTATATCTAGTGCGGCCTTGGATATATACTCCGTTCAAACAGCCGTGGCACCTGACGGATTAGGACACCCCATGGAAACCCTTGGGGCCTCCTAATCCCTCAGGTGCCATGGCTGTTTGAACGCACTATAGTCGTTCGTGCAGTAATTACAATTTATTCTGTAGACTCCAAGTTTATCATATATGGATGACGTAGTGTTTCTGGTTGCTCTTTCAATAGAGATCCAAGTTTATTATTCATCTTGAACGATACGGTCAATTTATTTTGGATAAGGTTTTGGATTAAAGGCTCGTACCTTAAATCGCTACTCGTGTCGTTAAAACTATTTTTACGCAATCGTTGCGTAATCTACTAAAACAGCTCGTTGTTATATCTATCTATATATTAATAGGCAAGCATGTTTCTTTGAAACCTTTTTTCTCAGCTCGTGTGCATCGCAGAGAAAATCTACGCATACTGTTAGAAAGGTATTTTCCTGCATATGTCCAGAATCCCTTTATAAATTAAAATAGTCTCAAAAATAAGCACAAAAAATGGATTTAAAATAATAAAAAATTAACATGGTTATTATGGGTTGCCATGCTGGTTACGAAATAACAACGAAATATAAACAGAAAACCAAAACAAATTGAAGAAATTCCTGTCACATGTTTTATTTACAGCGTGGGGTGAAAATAGAGAAGTCTCCACATTACATATTTTTGGTCGAGTTTCGACCACTGGACGACCTCTAGTCTATATTATTAAAAGCATTTTTGGGATTTTTTTGTGTAGCAAATCGATCCTCTAAATATTTATTTTTATTTTTATCCATATTGGGTATCAATTTAAAGCTCTTATCCTCTAGATGTGCCTTTTGCGGGGTTGGATGATACCCCGTGAAAGCACTTCGTCCTAAGGGCTTTTACATTTTTCAGAGTTTGTGCTGAATTCTGTTGTCAATCATCTGAACTGTTTCAAGTTTACATTTGTTTACATAAAAACAGATGACCATAACACAATTTTGTTTACATTCATAGGAAAATGGGATTATCTGTAGTTATGTTGATGGTTCAGTCAATATATTTATTGCAACGTAAAATGTAAAGAAGAAAATTACTTAGTTGAATTTTTTGTTGTGATAGGATTGTGTGTTTTCATAGTAGGCCTATGTTTTAGGGAATGTAATTAAGTAAAATATTGTAATGTTATTTATTTAAAATAAGAAACAAATTTGTGTTTTCATCGTATGTTTCATTAGCATTTGTAATTTTACTAAGATGCCTCGAAGAGATCACACACACAATGAAAAAATAAATTGCGGCTAGGGCACGCAATAGAAATAGTAGGGATATGATGAGAAATAATCGTTTCCACCCTTATCAACTACATATCATGAATTTTGAAGTCACGAAGTGACGCAGGTTACTAGTTGTTATTTAATTGATTTCTCTTTGCTTATATGTTGTTAACGATTTGAATTTTTGTGGTAAAAGTGTGTGATTCTAAAGTTATGTGCTTAATCTGTAACATTAATATAAGTGAGTAAAGTGGTATGGATTTCATAATTATTTTTACTAGAGATCGTTGAATTTAGCCCTAACGGGCTCTGTTGCTAATCGACAAGTAATAGAGACTTGAGAATGAACTTGACAACCGTCGATTTGTAAGGCAACCACTTAAACAAAAGCCTTGTGCGAATGTAAGGTTTACATAGGCCACAATAATTTGTTTGCTTCATATTTTGTTGGCAGGTGGCACTGATCTTGGCTGTTGCTACTCAGGTCATCTGTTCAATACTCGGAACCTCTCAAGAGCACGTAGGACAGGGAGGCTGTCATAGTGAACGTTGTATATATAGCAAGGTAAGATAGTCTAATTATGGGTTTTAATATTATTTCTTTGAAAATTGATCTTATCCCCAAACATCCGGTAGAAATCGAAGTAATTATTGCATTTTATTGAACTTTGTGGAAATTGCATCAACATTCACTGGGCTTGATGCACTACTCTCTTATAAGAATGCATTCATAACAAAGTTTCCACATCTACACATTAAATAAATGACAACAACTGTATTTTGATGACTGGAAAATGTTACAATTTCGTTTCTATAAAATTCTTGAACTCAAAAATGCTTTACTTTTTGCTAAACAGGATAAATGCACCACAAATTGTTCATCCCGATGTATATGTCCATCTGTAGTACAGATAAAACTCTCCCAAGAAAACATAGAAACTGGTCTTTTCATGATACTTGCAGGACACGTAGTAAGAGTCCCTAGTGATAGGATGGGGTGAAAGTACAATTTTATGGGTGTTGAAGGGAGGGGGGTATTGATTTTGAGAACATTTTTATTCATGGGATCCGAGCAAGTGTGGTGTCTTTTTCTATTTTTCTTTATGCAGAATCGAAAAAAGTATAATACAATCAATACAACCAATAGTTTACGAGAAAGAAATGTTACTCATAAAAAATCAAAACAATACTTTCTCCACATACTATGGCATAGGGGGAGAAAGTAAAAGGCAAATCAAGATAAAAAGGTCCAATTAATATCAAATATCATAATATTCTTCATGAATCTATGTGTGATATGTTAACTTTGTAAGGAACATTAACTAAGAAACTGGTAGTTACGCCTCTTTAACCACTAGACTGTTGTGTCGAAGCGCATGCACAACTCTCAGATCTGATGTGATCATATGTAGATCCGGTGGCTTTGTGGAAAGGTTTCCTTAATTTCCTGATGGTAAATTCCTTCAGCATTGGGATCTTATAAATGAGTTCCTCGCGAACCATGGCTGTCGCGTAATCCGTCGCAGCGTCCGTGACTGGACGACTTCTAGGCGCTTTCTGTTCGTCTTGCTGGCCAGTACCCACAATGCCTCTGGGGCATATATCATGCAGGAACTGGCTCGTGCTTCGGCAAAGCAGAAGAGCGTCATCGGGGTACAGTGAAAGCGTAACACGTGGAACTATGTCATTTTTGTAGATTAAATAGAGCCCTAGGACGCTGCCCTGGGGAACTCCTGCCTCAACCGGTCTGACGAGCGAGAGTTTTCCCTCCACACAGGTTTGGTAGGACGTCTCCTGCGTATGACTTTAGTAGATGAACAGCGGCGGTCGGTAGCGGAGTTCGGCTGAGTTTGTAGAGGAGCCCCTCATGCCAGACTTTGTCGAAGGCCTTGCTGACGTCCAGGAGCATTGCAACGGAGCACAGGATAATGATTGTCCACATGCATGTTCAGCACACGAATAAGTTGTTGTGTTCTTCGAGTTCGTCGTCTGCCCCCGTTGATGTCAGAGAGGTTATGTTATGATTGTTAGGTTGCCGACTAGGCTCCACTAGCCCTCGTATAAGGATTTTACTAAAGAATAACTTTATAACATCCAGTCTAGTTCACCGTGTCATTGGATGTCGCATTGTGTCTAATAATGGGACTTTTTCCCTCTGCAAACACCAGGTAAACTGAGGTCTTCTCAAAATTGTTTAACCATATGCGCTGCTGAAACGTACCTCACCACCAATTAGGCCCATCACATACTGATTAGTGATTATTTTACTTAGCTCTCTCCCACCAAAACCTAATCCCCCGAACTGCGGAAGCATTTTGTTTTCTAGCAAACTTGGGTTTGCAGGGAAAAAAATATTTTAAAATACTATATTTTTACCACACTATGATGTTTTTAGCTGTTTTACAAACGTTTGGTGGCTGAAAGTTACGTTTTGCTGGCCATGCCAGCTGTCGTCGTTATTTGGGGACCGAGCAGGTTTTTACATCCCTAGGGCCGCAAAATCAGATGCCTGCTTACTTACTTAAAACAATCAGTATCCATAGCATTGCAATAGAATTGTTTTATTGTCACCGTTGCCTAGAAACAATTTATTATTATTTTTGCTGATTCCTCAAATTATTTCTTCACATAACCTTAAAGTTGTAGTTGTGTTGACTATCGCTATCAGTGTGTATTATTATTGTGGTGAATAGTGGTAATAGGGTATTGTGTGGTGAAAAATAGCGTTCGTACCACGGACCGAAATAGTTTTGCAGCTCTCGATATTTTTTTAAAATAATAATTTAAACAAACAATTTCAATCAGCTGTTTTAACTTAACAACTGTCAAAAGGACGTTTTGACAGTTAATCTTCCTTAGAGACAGTCTATTGTAAACGAGTAATTTCAGCATTGAATTTAAGTAAGTGTAAATGAAAATATTATTATATTGTTACGAAATATAGAACAACTGTTGATCAGTGTTTCAAGTTGGTGACGTTTGAGTGCACCTGTGTCAACTCAATGTTTCACTCGTATTTAAGGGTAAATTTTACTTCCGTCTTTTCTATTGGACATCCCGGAAGGTGCGGAACGCCGTTCGGTATGGCACATCGGGATGTCGTAGAAATCTTTTTCATAACTTTCAGACGGAGGAAGGTGCGGATAGTCCTGTACCGACCGTGACGGCCTAGGGACCGCACGGCGCACACATAGGCAAATCATCTTATGCCGGATCTTATACCGCATCTTTCAACCATTTTTCATCCCCTCTTCTTTTAACTCCACTTCCTTCTTACCACCCATTCTGGTAATATTACACTTTTATAACTGTTTTGCTTTGTTTCGATAGAGTCTACAGTGTGACGAAACGCCAGAAGTCACTGAATACCACACTGATACAGAGGGAGTGGAGAGACAGAACCAATTGTAAGTGACCAAACCCTCGTCCAAACTGTAGTAAAATAGCCGCGATAGTGTATGTCATTTTGAAAGGATGGATAGCCATGCTAATTTAAGAAAATTGGCCTTGGCCACACTCACCTTATCTAGTAGATTTTTTCCACTGACGTTTTAGTTTTAACTATCGATGTAGGGTTTTATTTAATATTATTGTGTTTGAATTGTTTGATTTGACAACACAAGTCATACTTATATTACCGTATTTTATTTAGAATGTATTAATTTATTTGTGAGATAAAATATATTTTAGTAGTTTGCTGCCCGGCAAGTAAATATCAGTCTGTTTTTAGTTCTTATCCCGAGATATTCTAAAATATGAAACAAGAATTTCAAAGTAAAGATAAAACATTTGATTACAGATACTGTTTTGGTTATGTATTAACAGGCCATCTTATCTTACAGTACTAATATTATAAATGTGAAAGTTTGTGTGTTTGTTTGTTTGTTTGTATTGAAAGAAACTAATTTGCTCGATGACTATTTAGAATCACGTGGTTTATGTAAAATTAAATCATGTGTATGATTGTTTTATCTTGAAAACATGTTTCTGTAAACACAGTTAATAATAAAGTTTAACAACTATTAATCAATTACTAGAGAACCCGTGCGGCTCAATGAGCCGCATAGTGTGAAACATAGCTACGTTGAAAACGTTATTCTTAAATTCAAGTAATCCTAGTTACATCTTAGAGTTGCTTAAAAACTTGTTAGAAACTAATTTTAAATATCTCTATTTGCGTCGTAAAAGGTTCACCTGCATTATTTCTGCTCTCAGTTTTAATTGATAACTTCTAATGAATACTAAGCCATCTGCTTCAATTCGAGTTAACATGTTACAACAAAGTTTTTCCAGCATTTAAAATTGAAGAAAACTGTTGCCTTACTGATAGCCTGTGTTAAGTAATTTAAGTTTGGGTCACTTTATTTATTTTATTTGAGACTTCCCTCTAATCAAACAAATTTTCTCCGTAGAGAATCCTAAAAGGTTGGGTGATATCAACAAACCCACAAACTCTGGGTTACCAACTGGACAGTCATAATCTGCTTTGAATAGGCTAAAGCAGCAACACCATTGAAAGTTGGTTAACATATTTTAACGTGTTGTCTGTCAGTCACAGTGATATGCCTTCATCAGAACGTTCTCACGTTGTTCAGTTGAGTTTCTCTTAATACATGTCCCAAAGTTTTGAAAGTATGGATTCATTTGTCTAAATAGGTTGGTTAACTCTTGTAGCTACAAAATTTGGATATACATTTTCATTTTCTCTTTTTGAAAAGCGTATATTATTTGCCTCTCTTCAATCATAAAAATAAACTTGACCATAACTACTCGGTCGTTAAATACATAATCACTAATTCCTTCACTTATGTTTGGTCTAATATTGCCACTAAAACTTTCAATAGCAAATGAGTTTTTGAAACTTCTTATTTTTGACTTGAAATGTCTGGATTGTGTTGGCAAATTAAGTCCAAAAACTTTGTATAAGTTTGTCCGAGATACAGGCAACATAACCTAGAAGTAAACAATCCGTTTGCGTTTTTCTCAATTGAAGTAGACCGAGTAATACAAAAGTTTACAATAGAAACATAAGGTCCGCAAAGATTTTGTATAATCTTACTACCTACTTGAACTTATCAGTCAAGGCATTAATATAGTTTGTACTAAATGTTTTGAAATATCTCGATCTGTCAGTGTCAGAAGTAAACATTTCATGCATGCATTCATTTGATCTGTGATTAGGCAAGTTTACTTTACCACCGTGAAACTGAAAACACTATGTGCTTCGTATATTTTTTCACTTCCAAAGTAAGTCGCATAGCCCTGCCCATAACTGTCAAATATTATTCATCTCACCAAGGGAATTTGTATCTTGATGGGTATCTGTTAGACCAGGCTTCTCTTTTTCTACTCTCCTCATACGCATTTAAGATATCTTATTATTGATTGTCTCCTCCTCCTGTTTTCAACATTTCTTCTTTGAACTTGAGACATTTTCGGTTTTTCCAACAAAACTGATTAACTGTTATTTACTCCCAGAAAGCTAATGAGTTTCTTTTTATAAACAGCTGTTTTTTTGTTTTTAAATTTGTTCTGTGTATTTCTTATGGGGAAAACCCGACCTTTGGGAGGGTCTCACGCCCTTAAAAGTAGGAATTTTAAAAATGTAAAACCTTATTGCAAAACTACATATTGAGAGAAATCTTTTGACACCTTAAACGTTGAAATTGGTCCACAAATAAGGGAGGAGTTGCGTTAACAAAAAACGGCTTCACGTATTATATATATTGAGCCGTGACTATTTCCACCGGGCGAATGTCACGACTCATGATCAATGGTTCAAGTGTTTTTTTTTTATAGTAGGCTAGTTCAGTGTTTCTCACTCCACGACCCCGAACAAGGCTGTGGGTTTTGTTCTTATTACTCCCACCGCCGACGATTCAGAGGCTCCGAGACTTTCGTTAGCGCTGCATCGGCATAAATTTTGCATCGTCTTACATCTTAATTTTGTAGTATGTTTGCTTTGTATTTTTGCCTTTTTCTTACTTGTGTGAAGATATTCTCTACTATGCAGTAAATTAAGAGCGCCCAGCGCGCTTGATGGGGCCCGTGAGGAGGAACATGTAGCAGCCGCATCAGCATTGACGGAGTGGATTCTACTGCTCTTGGCCACCCCTGGATCATGGCCCCCCTCTTCCGTCATGCTCGTTTCCCCCTCCGGTGCTGCTTGCCCAGAACCATTGAACTGAACGCCCTACCGCAAGTTACTTAGACCTAATTTATTGTTACCGCTATGGACTGAGGGATTTTAATTGTTATTTTGTTAATTTGTGCACAGATCTCTATTAATTGTTATTCCTTTTAAATTTTAAATTCTTTAGCCTAGGCTACTTGTTGATTTTTTAGATTTTATAATTTTTTTTACATATTCTATTAAATTTCAATTTTGGGGCCCCTAAATTTTCTATAGTTACCATGAAATGAATTTATTAAAAGAGTCATTAGATATTTCATTGTTGTAATTTGTTAATTTAAAAGGTTAAAACTGATTAAATTTACTTTGACTGAAATTAGCCTATTTTGAATTTTTTTTAATTAATGTTTGTAAGTGAGTAGGTCAGAGTGGTATCAAAATTTTTTAAAGTTTAATTGAGAGTATTTAATTCATGTATTATTGTTAATTATTGTTGTGTTATTCTTTTAAATGGTTAATTACAGCTCGTTTCTCTCAAATGGCGTGTTGTTCTTGAACCTCCATCCATGGTTCTCATTTGTTAAGTAAAGTTTTGTGAGCCGCTCCTCGGGCCTGCGCATGGATCACGCTTCCTTTTCGTTAGTCTGGGTGCAGGCACGAGGGCATGGTTCATCTGAATTTGCGATAGTCCAAAACCATTCGGGACTTGCCATTGGGTTTTGGGACGAGAAAGGCTGGACTAGCGTAGCTCGAACGGGAAGGTTCAATGACACCATTTTCCAGAAGTTCGTCAATGATTTTTCTGAGAGTTTCCATTTTGGGTGGAGCTAATTTGTATGGGTGAGAGCGAACGGGACGGGTATCTGTTAGACGAATCTCGTACTCTAACAGGTTAGTGACTCCAAGCTTTGGCGTCAGCACATCTGGGAAACGAGAACACAAGGTTCTGATGGCTTCAGCCTCGCAAGTAGTCAGATGCCCTAACGGATCAATTGTTGGCTTGCTGGGTATCTCAGGCTCGACTACCGCAGCACCACCACCAATTTCATCAGCAAAAGATATTAATACCCGCCTCGCAAATCGGAAAAAACACTGACCTCTGCCTAAATCCAAAATTAGGCCAGTGTGCTTGATAAAATCCGCTCCCAAAATGACAGGGAAACAAAGGTCCTTAGCCACCCAAAAACTCCAAACCCAAGAAAAATGTTCAATTTTGAACTTGAAACGGGCTTCATAGATGATGGGAAGGGGTGAATTTGACGCAGTCCAGCAGATAGGGGTTTTTCGCTCAACTTGCTTGATAAGCCCAGACGATTCCAGTTTTTCAAAAAGGGACAAGGAAATGAGGCAACGGGCTGACCCAGAATCCACTAGGGCCTTCTGCACCGTGGAACCTATGAAGATGTTGAGACGTGGGCAAGTTGAGCGCGCCGCTTTCACGCCCATGGAAGCAAGGCCCGCAATCCCCCGCAGCAGAGGCTCGGTCACAGGCACAACACTCCCAGAAGGGGAGGCAACAGAAACATTAACTGACTTTAACTTAGACTTAGACTTACTTGAAAAAACTTTCAAATTATTGCCCTTTACATTATCCCCAACAACCTCACAGGAAGGATTGGGCAATTTTTCCTCCTGTGAGCAAACTAGTTTTTTGGACCACGTCCAAAATTTCCACCTTGACGGCAATGCCGCCGAATGTGACCTGGTTGCCCACAACCAAAACAAACAACAGGTTGCCTCTGCCACTGCGGCGGTTCAGGACCCAACCCCACGGGTGCTACGACAGCATGATGACCAGCTAGGGGAAGATGCCCCGCCGCTTGGTCTCTCTGAAAATCAGCGTCCTGGACAGATCTCGAAAGGATGGAAAGTCTGTCCAGATCCGCAAAAGATGAAGGCCGTGGTGCAAAAACCAGACGGGAGCGTTCCTCAGGCTTCAACCCCTGAAGCACAATGTCAATGAGCTCAAGCTCACTGATCCCCAAACGCAAGACCCTTTCCACCGTGCGAATGTCCCCCACGTACTGGCTGAGAGACTCGGCTGGCTGCTGAGGACGAAAAACTCTCTCAACTTTCAGCTTCTCCATGACCCGACGGGGCATGAAAAGCTCCAAAACTTCTTTATGAAAAACATCAAAGGTGACGCCTCTGCGCAAACAATCAAGCAATCTGTCCCCCAACGGTTTCAGACAGTATGGAGCAATGAGTTCCATCAAAGTTGCGTCTGACATGCCAGGGTATTCACGCATGCGCAAAACACTCTCCAGAAAAAAA